ACCGATGTGGTTCAGCATAAGCCATTAAATTCTATGGTGTATAACAATTTAATTAAAATTGAGAGAATACAGAACTAAAATAAAACTATTCTATCGTGAACTCGTTGCACACGAAAAAGATAAAATAAGCTCCATTTTGAAATCATATATATATATATATATATATATATATATATATATATATATAATGTGAAATTGGGCTAAATAAAGAGATATGAGCAAACATATATGCGTGCAATTACGTACACATACAGATGAGCAAATAACTATTTATTTAATTTTTGTTGTAGACAAAACACTGCTTAATGTAGTTAAACAGAGCGATAAAGTATATATTAATAATTACGTATATACCTACGCTTACAGTACGACAGAGTTTCATGGCATTCCCAATCATCAGACACTGAGAGTTATGAACTGTTCAATACGGATTGAACAATTCATAAATCTAAGTACCTGATGATTGGAAAAGCCATGAAACTCTGAGTTGTACTGCCAATGTAGGTATATGTGTAATTATTAATGTACACATATATACGTAAACACATGGTGATTGTCACATCTTACTCTTACTCACCTCTGACTCCTCGCATCATTGGTGATGGCTTCCATCTCGTTTCGCATCCATTGCTACTAAGATGACTCTTCAGGTCTGCATTCCATTTCATAGTTAATATATATATATATATATATATATATATATATATATGATTCTGTATCTTTGATTGGGTCTGCATACCCTACAACTCTCCTGTGGACCACTATGTGCCTTTTCAGCCCAGATGATGATCTGCAAACATTGTTGCAATCAACACAGATATTGTCGGCAGAATATTAGGGCAGGTTGACATACTTGACCTGTTTCTGATTCTTGTGATGACCCTTAATATATATCTTGTATACACACACACACACACACATGTGTGTGTGTGTGTGTGTGTGTGTGTGTGTGTGTGTGTGTGTGTGTGTGTGTGAATTATTACCAAATATTACATATATATCCCCAGCTATGGGTAAATAATAGGACAGATGGGGTCCTATAGCCTTGGCTAGCAACTGGTCTAGGAGAAATATAACTCTGAATTCAAAACTTGTGGAGAGTCATTTGGGGATCTTGTGCTCACTATGTGCATTAGTTCTCTGTATTTGGCTCTTCGAAAAGTATGACTGATTCTGCACAAGCCTTCAACACTGTTATTAAATCATATGACCGGTTAGTCTGTCTGTTCGGTTCTAAGAACAGAACTACTGGATTCATACATCGTAAAATCATATGATGACTCATACATCGTAAAAACACATATGATGACCCTTCAGATGTTCTACATAACCTGCCCTCGACAACTACATGTGCTCACACACTCCACATTTCCAAGACTGCATATTAACTGGCTAATCAAAGTGAGTGCCTCTTCACACTTGATCTGAACATGCCCGAGGCATTCATCCACAAAGACGTGACATCCCTCCCTAATAAAGTGCATCTACTCTGTACAAATTAAAGGCAGTTCTTCCCAACGATACATAGTCATGTGCAATGCATTCAGATTATCCTTTAAATCTCTTCCTAGGCTTGTGTTGTGGGCGCTTTCCTGTCTTCAGTTCCCCGTAGAAAAGACTTTTTTTTTTTTGGTGGAGGGGAATTCTTTTATCCCCCAATTCTCACAACTTCATCTCTCCTTTCGTATCTGACTGAGGATATTTCAATGTTGCTGCATTCAGATCTTTGAAATACAACAGTGTCTGGAATCAAAGGCTGCCATTTGATGTCATGGAGGCAAGGTAAAGTAATGGATAGTGGCTCGGGTTGAAGAATCGGAGAAACGAGTTCGAATTCCAGTCGGACACATTACATTCACTTACGTGCTAATACGCTTAGGAAAGGTACGAATCCTCTTCTTCTCCACCCCCCAGCTATTGGTAAATAGAAGAACAGACCGGGTTCTATAGAGAACATCGAATTAGACTGAGTGTTTGTGCAAGTGTGTCAGCTTACTTTAACCCATTGTTCACTGCAATCGAATCTGAAAGCGAGCTGTTGCCTGTGAGACGAGCCCTCATATCAGTATGAAAGCTTACCAAAAATACATCACAAAACATCACAATTTACGATGTCAAAAGCCTCGGAGAGATCCATGAAAATCTTGCATAATAGTACTTGCTGTTCCATGCATTTCGGGCCATGGTCAAGACAATACAGACAAAAGAAATCGGCGAAGAACCTGCCTAATGAGATTTTGTAAATAGTTGACCCAGACAGATATTAGAGAAAAGTGCAAAAAGAGAAACCTTGCTGAGAGTTACAAGGAACAGGAATTCGTGGAGAACCATGAGTGCCCACATCCTGGAGGAACACAACACAGGAAGACGTAAAAAAACAGCAAGGTCTGCGTATAGAGTGACTCTTGGAGGCGTTTTTTTTTTTCGGCGTCTATGAAGGAATATGCGAAATCTTGAAATATTGAAAAAATAATTACAAGAATGCCGGAAATAAAATTATTTCAATTGTTCCATTAAGAATCCAAAATTTTTATTACAATCATATTTTTTAGTATTTACAAGTCTTCGAATAGGAAGTCCCGCTTTTTTTGTTTGATTTTTTTAAACACTACAATTAATGTTTAGCGACGAAAACGTCTTGAAGAATGCTTGCCTCCTGACAGAAATCAAATCTACACTACTGTTTTAATCCGAAAAAGAAAAACGCTTTCAGGCTAAGTAATGCCTTAACAGCAAAGCAAGTCTCACTTATTTTACTCTAGGCTGGTAGATATTAATTACATTAAAAAAAAAAAAACGGCTGTCTACTTAATTTTGGTTTTGAATTCAGATTTTTTTCCTTCTCCTAGGCTAGTCCGGGGTATGACGATAAACTACATCCGACAGCAAGACCTCTGATCGGAGAATTGTAGGTTTTGAGAAGCTTGGGCCACCACTTAATTGCTGTTGTTCCCAAGTTCACTTTGACCCGAGGCAGTAGCACCTGTTAGGATCCCAACTATAGGTAAATTGTGACCCCCACCACAAACAAAAACAAAACACTATGAAAGTATAAAAATACATTATATAGTAAAAATAACAGCCATAAATTTTATCTAAACTAGCACTATTTTCTTGGGAAATGAATTTTACTTTTTAGTTCTACCAGTTCAGACCTTTACAGGTAGGACACGCCATATTTACACGGTGTCAAATCACACTCATTTTTCCATATTATAATTTTAAAGAGAAAGAACTGCAACTCCAGACTCCAATTTGGATGATTCCCTGGATATTAAAAGCTTAAACTCTTCTTCTCTGTATAATCGTCACTTCCGGCCATCTCCTCTTTCATTCATATCAAACACATGAACAGTAACCCTCTACACTATAATCATAAACTCTGAAAGTCAAAGGTCAATCGTTATCTATCCTCCTTATCCTCATAAACTTAATTTCCTACCACCTCTTTTATTCATATCACACACCTCATTCATCATAACCGTGATGAACATCAACACTCTATACTATGTTATTAAACACTTCAAGTCATGTGTCATTCATTATCTATCCTCCTTATCCTCATAAACTTCACTTCCTACCACCGCTTTTATTCATATCACTCCATTCGTCATAATTTTAACAGAAGCTCTCTAAACATTGGAGTTTTCTATTGAGTGAATATTACCTTAAAATATTACCTTTTTATATTTGTTAAGCCGTCAAATAGAGTGACTGCTGGCTCCTGTAGATATTTACCAAAAATATTCGTTGAGCACTCTGCAGCGACCGATCTTAATATACACTTTATGGTCTGAAACATTACCTTGATCTCCATCACTCTAGGACAACGGCTTCCTCTTCTATATACCGTGTCCATTCAGGATATTGACGATCATAGCTCTCCACTATTTCCTGTCCTTTGTAATCCTTAATAAATTTTGTATTTTTGTTATCTCTCCTAAACCTCGCTACGCTATCTATTTACTCAAGCTCGCTAAGTAAGTTATGTGTTGTTTTTTTTCTGTCCCTTTGTCATGGGAGTATCAAATTGTCCAAGTCCTCTTTCCTCATTACGTGCCCTAGACATTTAAACTGCCTCTTCCTCATGTTAAATATAAATTTCCCTTTTGTTTCCATTTTCTCTAAAACATCGTCTTTGCTCATAACATCTATAGTATTCTCTCTCTCTTGTTAATCAAGCTTTTATCGTATTTCAGATAAGACTTTGTGTTATACAGAGTGTTTTGTGATGTCAACGAATACTCGTTGCCACTTTTGTAATGCTCGTTGTAGTAGAGACCTTGTAATCGCAGATACAACTATAATAACGCCGTTGAACAATACTGGTGTCAGACGCCTTCGAATATCACTCGCACTAATAGCACTTGCTCGATAATACTCGTTCGGAAAGTAACAACCATATAGTGATCAGTATAGAGAAATAGTATAGTGATCAGTATAGAGAAATAGTATAGTGATCAGTATAGAGAAATAGTATAGTGATCAGTATAGAGAAATAGTATAGTGATCAGTATAGAGAATAGCGATCCGTATAGTAATAGAGGATAGTGTAGAAATGTCGATATGTATAGTAATAGAGTATAGTGTAGAAATAGTGATCAATTAGACGCCACGCGAATTCCCATATATACATTTCCTTTACCGTCGCATGATCTAATTCAAAATGGGATCGCCAGTGTTGGCTCTCTGGCGATCTATGTTCAAACTCTAGCGTCGGAAGCGATATTTTATTCCTATATAACAGGGTGTGATAGGTAAATTTTCGCCATTTTTTATTTTTTATTTCGCGCATGCGCGTTTGTTTGTTTTTTTTTGTTTTGTTTTTTTTCTGTCGACTGCACAGTATAGTATTGTCAGTTGTGCACCGGTCCGTGAGAAACTGACAATACTCCAATTTCCTGTTCCGATCCGCTAACCCTTACACCACCCGCACACCCCTTTCTTTTTCTTTCGTATTTAATGAAGGAAAATAAATGATTATAGAAAAGAATACTTACAGCGAAAAACATATTAATGCTGACAATAAGTCCACAGTGGAGGGGTACCGAACCGCTAATGTCGTTTCTGTTTTTATCGACGACGGCTAGCACTGAAAGTGTCAACGTAAAAGACATAATCAGTTCAGCCATACAGGCTTGCCAAGCAGCCACTCCTCTCTGCGGGGTTAAAGTGCCGAAATGTGCATACATAGTAGAAGGGGTGATGACCCGAGCGATACCACCGGCCAGTAGTGATCCGAGCGTCTGGGCCACCATGTAAACACAAAATCGAATCCAACTGATTTGACCAACAAGGAAGAAGCCCAAACTCAGCGCCTGGTTGACGTGGGCTCCGCTTACATGTTGAAACGTTTGAACGATCACAGCAACAATGAATCCAGAATTTAGGATTCTATGAAAGAAAAAAAAAGAAAAATAGAAAATAAAAATGCTTACAGGGCTAAAAGAACATTATTATAGAAAGGTGATCCTTTTATGGTCAAATTTAAAAAGATGAACTTCAAAGATGAAGTCAAAATTAAAAAAATGCATTAAAGTTGAATTTCAAAATCCAAACGAGAAATGCTGGATCGTCCCGGAGGCTACTATGAAACGCCAGATAGCTGAAAAATTTGAAACTATAATTCTACAGAAATTAATTAGAATCATGTAATATTTGTGCTTGTCCATCCTTTCAGTAGTGCCTTCGTTCGCACGACCGTTACGACCTGCCAATATCTCATAAATAATTGGCTATTCCGTTTTGATTCCGTGGAAAGACAAAAAGACTTATTAAAGACGCTACTTGGTTTCAGTGAAAGAAAGAAAGAAGTGTTTAACGTCTCCTAAAACCTCATAAATAATTGGCTATTCCGTTTTGATTCCGTGGAAAAACAAAAAGACTGATCAGAGACGATAGGTATTGAACTCACACGCTTTGGGTCCTGTCACTGGATCTAACTAACGCCTTTATCCACTGTGACATGGCACGAGAACAGTCTATCCCAGGGAGCATAATAAAAGGTTCAGTTCGACATTCAAACCATCTGAAGAAGGCCGAAGCGTACAATGGCCGAAACGTTGTGATAAATATGGCAACAAAGATGAAGACAATAGTCCGAAATAATGTAAATAGTGTACATAATACATCATCTCAGAAATATAGACAGAAAACCTGAAATAGACTATATCCGGGTGCTAGTCTATATTAACAATAAGTCATGGGGCCGCAGAGTTCTGGTCCGCACTTGGCGGGAGAGGGACGAGTCCACCGCGTGCTTCCAAAGCCTTCATTTCGTATTGTCAGCCATCTTATAGTGTCTCGACTTGGCTTTTTTTTTTCATCGTATTCCATTGTGAGCATGCATCGTGTCTTTTCTCAGCTTTCAGAGAAACACCGACTAGATCGAGAATGCAACGCCGGAGTGCTCATAGGTCGGTCGATAAAAAACTTAAACCAGAGTTGGGTCATCTATAGAAACAATTTGTCTCAACGCTATAGCAAGATCTCCCGATGAGGGACAATTTGTGAACATTGTGTGTGGGGGGGGGAGAGATTTGTAAAATTTGTTAACTTCGGATTATCAGTCCGTAATTATATTGTTTATTTATTTGCAAACTAATACTGTATCCTTTTGCAGTAATAACATTTTAATTTTAAATTCAGATTTTAACAATTTGAAAGATAAGCGTTTTTAATTTAAAGTTGATATTTTTTCAAATTTGAAATTCAGATTTTTAATTTGATGTCCAACTTATTAATTTGAGGTCAAGAAGTTGCTTGCGTGCTGGATAAGACGATAAACTACATCCAACAGCAAGGCCTCTGGTTGGGAAGTTTTGAGGAGCGAGGAACCACCTCTTAATTGTTGGTGTTCCCAGGTTCACCCTGACCTGGGATCGTAACATCTGTTAGGATACCAGATATGGGCAAACAGTTAACCTACAAGCTAGGCTCAAAACACTATGAAAGTGTAAAAATAGGTTTTAGTACTAGCAATACATTTTGTAAAAAATTATTACCAGCAATACATTTTTGAAAAAAATATTGCCAACAATAAATATCTTAAGATAAGATATAACCTCGGTAAACCACACTCACTACAGCAGCCGACTATCCAGCTTCGATACCACCTCGGCAACCCACCGCCATCATCTTGGCATATCCGACTCACCACAGGCATTCCCTTTGCAGTCGTCACCACAGCCCCGTTCGATAGAACTGGCCTACCAATCATGCCAATCGATCCAACTCGATCAATCAACACGTTCACAGACCATATCCTGTGGCCTCGGTCAAACCCATACAAGAAATAGGTCAACCCCCGCCCCTGACAATCAGCAGCAATAAACTGACATCTAATCGATTTTCGACAATGTAAGACACCCCATATATTAAACAAATAAATGTTGTTCAAAAACATAATTCTCAGTATTCTTTTCCTTTCGCATACCTTAATTATACCTGTAGTAACATACAGCTTCAACATTATTAAATGGAAGTTGAATGACATTAAAAGATTGAACGCTATGAGCAGAAAAATGATTACCCAAATAAAAATGCACCATCCGAAATCAGATGTTGATAGGCTGTACTTACAAAGAGCTTTAGGATGTCGAGGTCTAATCCAACTTGAACTAACACTAAAAACTAGAACAATCGGATTGGAAGCATACCTCACAAAAATCAATGACCTCACCTACAAATAGTACATAAACAAATCAACAAAGTAGCTGCACTCTTCAAGAAACAGCTTAATATACCGGGAACCTACCAACAAAAAACGTAGCGTATGCCATCTACATCAAACCAGTAAAACAGAAATCAAACAAACAAATGAAATTACCAAAAAAAAAAAAAAAGGCGTTGAATGGCAAATACCTAAAAAGGGCGAAAGAAAGAGATCTGGACCAACAGAACAGTTTGAGGAGCACTGTGTTGAAAGCTGAGACAGAAAGCCTAATTATTGCAGCTCAGGACCAAAGCCTCCAAGCAGGTCCTACCACTGTCATATAAATCAATGACGGAACTAAACCAAAATGCACGATCTGTGGAAAATATGATGAAACTGTCGATCATATTATCTCAGGATGTCCGGAACTAGCAAAAAAATAAATATACCCACAGACATAACAAAGTAGCGACATATGTGCACTGAAAGATATGCAAGAAGCACAAAATCTAAACCACTGAGAGATGGTATTAACACCAACCAGAGACAATTACCCAAAGTAACGATGTAACTATCACCTTGGACATCCCAATTCAAAGTGACAGGGGAATAAAAGCCAACAGACCTTATATTATTATAAAAGACAAGAAATTCAGGAAGTGTATGCTTATTGACATAGCAGTACCATCTGAGAAAAACACCTCCATGAAAATTATCTAGAAATTGTCCAAATTCAAGGAATTGGAGATCGAGATTAACAGGAATGAAGACTGAGACTGTACTAATAGTAATCTGAGCTCTGGGCCTCGTGAGAAAAGGAATTAACAATTTTACTAACAATGTCCCAGGTAATATCAACATATAAGTTGCCCATAAGATCGCCCTACTAGGAACATCCCATATACTAAGATAAGTGCTATCAATTAAATGACAATTTTCCTATAGGGCCTAAAGACCATAGCTTGGACCCGGTTCTATAGGATACAAAGTAGGAAACATAACATACAGAAATAATAATAATAATTTGTACTTACAAATAAAGCTCATACATTACGAAGGGCTTTATCTATGTAAAATGTATGTGATCTTGGTTGTTTTTTTTTTTTACAAAAATGACCAGTGGAAAAAAGCTATTTCTGACCTTAGGTCTCGTGTTGGGACCCGGGAGGAAATGCGTATACAAAAGAAATCAAAGGAAATAATAATAATAATAATAATAATAATAATAATAATAATAATAATAATAATAATACAAACCAATGGGATATGAAAAATAAGAACTAGTTTTAAATAATAATAATAATAATAATAATAATAATAATAAAAACAAGAATTTCCATATCCAAACTGACCGCATCACTGAGGCCACCAAATCAAACCCAAACAAACTTTATTTAAAAATTTTAAGCCCCTTCATCCATGGCTATTTTCTAAACGTAACTTAGATGTGGCACAAGGCCGAAATTATGAGGCACCCAGTGGGGATCGAACTCACTATTCAGTCGTAATTGATCTAGCGAGATAAACTGGCTAACCCATAAACCATTGCTTCTCCATCTATTCCTCATCTGTTTCTTGTGACCATAACAAAATGAAAGAAATTAACAGCCTTAAAAGTAGACAAATCTCCGGATTGTGGTTATCAAAATGTGTGAAATTCAAGCCACGATTGTCACAATTAACATTAGAGAGTTCGGGTCATTAGCACCAAATCTAAAGACCTACATTATAAAGTCTAGTATCCCATCGCTTCAGAATTCTACATCGCTTGGTTTGGCTTTTGCGAATGATCTGTTTGAGGTTGTGCAAGATCTCAGACTGAAAACGAAAAACCGTGCAGAGGAAGAGATAATAATAATTCCAACCATTCCAATTAAAATCGCAGCCCTCGGATTGATTGGAAAAGGTGCCGATAGACACATTGAAGAGGTTCCTGGTAGTCCAAGCCTTAAAGAAATACAAAAAATTGTTTTCACAAGTATAGCCCACATCTTACGAAAAGCATTATCTATGTAAATTATATGTGATTTTTTTTTTTCAGTGGAAAATGTCATGATGGCATTTCTGACCTTAGGTCTCTGGTTGGGACCCAGAAAAAAATTCGTATTTTCCAGAAATCAAAGGAAATAAAATAGTAATAATAGTATTATAGAAGTTATTTACGGGTTAAACTTTGTCAAATATGTTTATATTTAATTCCTTTTCTTTTTTTCCCCATGATTATTTTTTCTCGATAATATTCATTTTAGCGTTAGATTTTGTTATTCCGTTTTCAATTTCTACTTTTTCTTTCTGAATTAGACGTGTTTGTTCGAATAATAATAATAATAATAATAATAATAATAATAATAATCGATGTGGATTTTCTTGGCTGGCATAATGCTAAGGTCAAAGGAAAATGGAAAGGTTATTTATATAAAGTATGCGCAAATTTATTTAAAAAAGAAACCGCCTAGCGGAAAACTGCAATGATACGATTTCTGACATCCAGAAAGAAATAACTATACACAAGAAACCAAATGAAATAATAATAATAATAATAATAATAATAATAATAATGATAATAATAATAATAATAATTCCAACCATCCCAGTTGAAGTCGCAGCTCTCGGATTGATTGGAAAAGGTTCTAATAGACATATTGAAGGCATTCCTGGTACCCCAGGCCTGAAAGAAATGCAAAACATTGTACTCACATGTACAGCCAACATTTTACGAAGGTCTTTATCTATGTAAAATATGTGCGGTTTTTTAAAAAATAACAAAAAAACTGCTCAGTGGAAAATGTCATGATACCATTTCTGACTTCAGGTTCCTCACCGAGACTCGGGAAGAAATAAGTATTCATCAGAAACCAAAGGAAATAAAACAACAACAACAACAATAATAATAATAATAATAATAATAATATTCATTCCAACCATTGCAACTGATGTCGCAGCCTTCGGATTGATTGGAAAAGGTTCGGATAGACACACTGCAGGGATTCCTGGTAGCTCAGGCCTGGAAGAAATACAAACAAATGTTCTCTCAAGTACAGCATATATCTTACGAAAGGCTTTATCTATGTAAAATATATGTGATTTTTTTTTCAAAATTGCTCTTTGGAAAATGTCATGATATCATTTCCGACCTTAGGTCTCTCGTTGGGACCCGAAAAAAAATGAGTATACACCAGAAATCAAAGGAAATAAAATATTAATAATAATAATAATAATAATAATAATAATAATAATAAAGCAATTATAGAAGTTATTTACACTTTTACAGTTATTTAAACTTTGTCAATTATGTTTTTATTTAAGAATATAAATTCCATTTCTTTATTTCCATGATTATTGTTACTCGATATTATTCATTTTAGCGTTACATGTTGTTATTCCCTTTTCAATTTCTGCTTTTTCTTTCTATATTAGACGTGTTTGTTCGAATAATAATAATAATCGGTGTGGCTTTTCTTGCCTGCCGTAATACCAAGGTCAAATGAAAATGAAAAGCTTAAAAGGCATATTGACCTCTAAGCTGAGATTGCCAGAACTTTTAACAAGAAAGTGCTCAGTGGAAAAATGCTATGATACTAATTCTGACTTCAGGTCTCTGGTCGGGACCCGGGACGAAATAAGTATACATCAGAAACCAAAGGAAATAAAATAGTAATAATAATAATAATAATTTCAACCATCCCAGCTGAAAAAAATTACAAAGAATTGTACTCACAAATACAGCCCACATTTTACGAAGGTCGATGTAAAATATGTGCGATTTAAAAATAAAAATAAAAACTGCTCAGTGGAAAATGGCATGATACTATTTCTGACTTCATGTCTCTGGTCGGGACCCGGAAAGAAATAAGTATAGACCAGAACCAAAGGAAATAAAACAACAACAACAACACCAATAATAATAATAATTCCAACCATTCCTATTGAAGTCGCAGCCCTCGGATTGATTGGAAAAGGTTCCGATAGACACATTGAAGTGATTCCTGGTAGCCCAGGCCTGAAAGAAATAAAAGAAATTGTACTCACAAGAACAACCCACATCTTGCGAAGATCTTTATCTATTTAAAATATGTGCGAATTTTTTTTGTAAACTGCTCAGTGTAAAATGGCATGATACCATTTCTGACTTCAGGTCTCTGGTCGGGACCCGGAAAGAAATAAGTATTCACCAGAAACCAAAGGAAATGAAACAATAACAATAACAACAACAGCAACAACAACAACAACAACAATAATAATAATAATAATAATAATAATTCCATTCATTGCAAGTGAAGTCGGAGCCCTCGCATTGATTGATAGATACATTGAAGGGATTCCCGGTATCCCAGGCCTGAAAGAAAAAAAAATGTCCTCACACGTACAGCCTACACCTTAGGAAGGGCTTTATCAATGTAAAATATGTGTGATCTTAATTTTTTTTTCTCCTCAAAATATTTTCACTGGAAAATATCATGGTGCCAACTCTGACCTTACGTCTCTGGTTGGGACCCGGGAAGAGATGAGTATACAGCGGGAAGAAATCAAAGGAAATAATAATAATAATAATCATAATAATAATAATAATAATAATAATGATCTCTTACCGATGAACTGGTGTATTGGGCATCTCTCGATAATCATTCTCGTTAGCTCCAATACAGTAGAGGACAAGAATGGTGGTCCCCAAAAGCTCAGAACAAAATGCCCTCCACAGTAAGGGGTCTGCCAGCTCTTGAAAGCTTTGGTTAGCACTAGACCGACGTTTCAATTCGGGATCATCAGTTGGCTGTGACATTTCGAATTTGAACGCGTTCTGTTTTCTCTCCGGCGTCACTTCTTCCTGCATGCTTCGACTTTCGAAAGATATCGTCAGACTGATCGAATGAGAACAACAAATAGCGTGTGTGCCTTTTTATACTTGAGCGACACGAAGTATCACCTTATACTGAGAGAATGCTTCACCGACTTCCCTCGAATCTCAGCGCGCATGACGACGTTAAAAACAATACGGTTACTGAAAAAGTTGTCAACCTGAAACAATTCACTTTTTTTTTAATTAATAGGAGGGTGATTAAGTTACCGACTCACGACAATCCGTTCTCCTCTTGGTAATTGTAAATAAATTAGTCTCACAGGCCATCGCAGCTGTCGAGAGTTCGATCCTAGCAAGGGGACCCATACTCGCAGACAAATTTAATCGGTTTTAATACCAGAAATACTTTGTAATAATAATAATAATAATAAATTATTACCAGCAATAATTTTTGAAGGAAAAATTATTATCAGAAATAATTAAAAAAAAATAAAAGCAATACAAACAGCTATACATTTTTTGAAAAGAATATTACCAGCTATAGATTTCCTTTGATTTCTGTTGTATACTCATTTTTTTCGGGTCCCAGCCAGAGACCTAAGGTCAGAAATGGTATCATGACATTTTCCGAAGAGCAAGTTTGAAAAAAAAAGACACATGGTAAAGTTACTAAGACACAAGGGGTTACTGGGTCTGGAAGAGTTAGAAAGAGGGACATTTCTAAGTAGCGATAACAAAAGAAGAGCAATCAGGAGGACAGTAGATAGCGATTGACAGTGCATTAAAATTTTTGAAGATTAAAGTTGGCTGGGAAGTCGCCGGAAGGGAGTGCCACAAGCGAGAAAAGAAACTGTTAGCATAGAACTTACGGTTATCATCTAATCAGACCTCATTGCCAGTCTACTACTGTGCTTAAATTCAAAGACTCTAGTCACCATAACGGAGGGCGATATTTATTTGTACTATGATACAAAAATGTGGAACAAGGGCAAAATGGTGAATAGGGAAAAGGACTGTTCTTTTGTATTAATATTAAAATTAGGTAGCCACAAACACTGACGTCCTGGGTATGACGATAAACGACCTCCAATCCCCGGGTAAGACGATAAACTACGTCCAACAGCAAGGCCTCTGATCAAGTTTTGAGGAGCGTGGAAACGCCTCTTAATTGCTGGTGTTCCCAGGTGCACTCTGACCCAGCTATAGGCAAAGAATTAACAACCAAACTTGTGTAAAAATAGGTGTTAATACCAGAAATACTTTGTAATAATAATAATAATAATAATAATAATAATAATAAATTATTGCCAGCAATAATTTTTGAAGGAAAAATTATCATCAGCAATACTTTAAAAAAATACCAGCAATACAAAGAGCTATGCACTTTTTGAAAAAAATATTACCAGCTATAGACTTAGGAAAAAATATTCCTAGAAATAGATTTGAAGAAAAACATATTACCAGCAATAAAAATTTTGTCGACGTTAAATAACCCATTGAGGTTGATATGCCGTAAAACAAAACAAACCAAACCAAAGCACTAACACTGATCCAAACATACCACGATATTCCTTCACCAAAACAACGCATTCTTACTTACATTACATACTACAACACTATAATTCCTCATTGTCTCTATGAAAGTTGTAACTAGTCAGCACATGTACTGGTGTGGGAGGGGGAGGAGAATAAAATAACAATTTGAATAAAATCTAAACACCAATGAATATTTACAAACGTGAAACAATACTAGATACAATAAATCAAACAAAATAATATTAGTAATAACCCCCAGAAAACATCAGTTAATTGGGTGAGATCAATGCTGGACTTTAATAATGTAAAACATTCATTCCTCCGAAGGACTCACTCGTTCAAACGCAACAACAAATACGAAAACTGCACCCGAAACAAAAGGCGTCCCGCATCCACCAGAAAACTGACATCACTGACGGTATTTAGCAACTTCCCCACGCAGTCACATTTGGCACAAGGCCGAATTTAATGTGGGGTTCCCGAGCCCGTAGGCTCGGCCAAAAAATCCCCGTAGACCCTGCATAAACGGGATCGGGTTTGTCTACCTCCCCGGACGAAACTCTGCCTTTCCTCATAGCCTCGTCCGGGTTCCTCTCTGCATGAAGGCAGAGAGTTCGACTAGCGCAGCTGGGAAAGATCCCAGCTTGACATCACTGACCACCTAACGAGGGAGGGGATGGGGAATTAAACTAAATAAAATAGGGACAGAAATAAATGTGGCCAATGAGCATGCATCGCCTAGCTAAGTTAATCGGAAGGAAGAAACATAAAAAAACAACACTAACCTAATTTCGGGCGGGGTTGCCAAAGTTCAATACAGTTAGGGCAATATCTTATTGCCTAACCTGCATCAAAGTGCCGCTGTAAGTTAGCCATTCTTACTCGACACACTCACGCAAAGACTCGCCTATATTTTGCCAAATTCTGATGGAGGGAGCCGCCGCCTTTCCGTCCTAGTCTCGACTTTAAGCTAATGCTTAAAGTACAAGATCAGTTGGGAAGAAGTGAACTTCACGTCCCCATAGAATCCCTTCTGACCTGTCGTCCAAATCATGACTCTCATAACCCCTCGCAAGCAAAAAACATATAGGATTCAACCTTCGTCATCGGCGGTACTACATTGCTACAGACAAAACTCGCCACAAGGACAAAGAATCCGCACAGCAAGCGAACCATGTGGCATTCAATAAACTTGGCCAACAGGACTACAACCCTGCAATGAAAGAAGGCGTGACTCAGGGTCTCCACTTGTCCATCAACAACCTAAAGGTAATGATAGCAACAACAAAGATGAGGGAAACAGTTCCAATATAAATAGTGTAAATAATAAATACTTAACTGTGTTCAAATATCCTGTTCTTGAAATAAGCTTGTGAGGAACGATGAATAGTGGATACGTTACAACAAATAATGTGGCAAGTAAAACGAAGTACTACACATCTGTATTTATCCAATAAAAATGATACTGGGATTCTTCGATTATGAGCGCCTTTCTGAAACGCAAATGATTGATTCCAACACGGTAATATTCCTAATTAGATTAGCTGAAAGAGGCTGTCGTTAACCGTGATGCGTACGGAATCAGTTCAGGGAAAGGACGCATTATTGTATCATGATAAAGCTAGGCTGGTCGCATGCTTATTTAGTGATCGTCTTTATATTGTTACAGTTTTGTTACGATGCTTTCGCCATATACTGCACTTTGGAATTACAATTTTCAGTCGTTACGCATTTCTTTAAAGAAAGGAAAACTTCCTCGAATACTGTAAATGGCACGTGTGTTTATGTGTGTGTGTACGAGGTCTGTTTGAAAAGTAACGTGACATCCGTTCTTTGATGTGAGAGGCATTCGTCTACAGTGACTTCTTGCCACAGAGCCAAACGATCAATCATCAAGTCTACAAAGAGATCCTACAGCAATTGTTTTGCTCAGTGCCCGAGAACAGACGCATGCTGTGACAGGACAAAGACACGCATGGATACGGGCCCAGGAGGAAGTTGGTTCGGAGCTGTGCGGAATTGCTTTATAAGAGAGCCGTCGCTAAAGAACAGCCCTGCAATTTCCACAGCCAGTGTGAAAACACAGATACGCGTATCAGAATTTGGTAAGAGTCGACGGGTTGGTTATTAGTTATGCGTTTGTTACTAGACTTCTCAAATCACCACCTGGCCGTAGAGAACTTGATACTGCAGTACGTAATAGAGATATTTTATTCAACCAGTTTTTCTATATATTCAATAAACCTGAGCATTTTATTGATTTAAACATTGCCCCTGAATGCAAAGAGACAAAAAGTACTACAGCCGTAAGTCGAGAAATATTCAGTTTTAACTACGGCACACAACTTGCATAAAGGGGCCCACACTAGATTTTGCGGTCAATCCCAACATCGTATGACTTTGAGAAACCCAAATGAACCCTATCTAGACGACACACCGGCCCCAACCAAGGAATGGAAAAAAGCCAGATGACCCCTGAAGGTTGGTATTACTCAACAATGCTAACAAACCTGGTGACATAAGGAAGAAGAGGAGACAGAGAGAGAGAGAGAGAGGAAAAAGAGTGTATGCGTTGATGGTATAGATTACATCGCCATCTATTCACACAAGGTCGTCAGGCAAGCGGATCGCTACCTTCCCGCAGCTCTCTTGAGTTTAATATGACCTGTGAGGGTTAAGTTTTCTACAACTTTTTTCCTCGTTATGTGTCCAACGAATTTTCAATTATTTCTTCCTTATTTTCAGTATAAGTGTTCTTTCTGTTACAATTTTCTTTAAGACTTGCTTGTGGCTTATTTGCTCCACCCATAGAATTCCCATCATCCTTCTGTAGAACCAAATTTCTGCTGCTTCTAGTTTTGTCCTCATCTTTAAGGAAATTGTCCAATATTCACTGCTATATAAAAGAATGGATACCACATAGTTATATAACACGCGTTTCTTTGTTCCTACTGATTTTTCACCGTTCCGAAGCACTTTGATTAACTTTTGTGATGCCGTTTTCGCTCGGCCAATGCGTCTTCGGATCTCGGTGTCACATTTTCCCATCTTCTGTTAAAACGCTTCCCAGATATTTGAATTTCATTTTATGATATCTTATAAAATTGCCAGTTAAAACTGACATCTCTTTTTCGACTCTTTATTATTCTGGTGTTAAAATGAAAGTCGGTCGACAGTTGATTTATAAATATCTCAGCGTCATTCAAGGAGTCAGTTACATAATGTAGATGTTTTCACTTTGACAAAGGATTCTTTTTCCACGTGGTATGTGACTCGTTTAAAAGATACGCTTGATTTGCTGAAACTTGATGCAGTCCTTTGACATTTTCTACAAAATATGCATAAAATCTAGATAGGCGCCTGCCATAGAATAATGTCAAGTAATCCGTTCACGCAAGTTTTCGCCAACGAGAGTAAATCAATGCACTTTAATTACTACACATTATGCCATGCAAAACCAAACTGAAACAGATATCTTGTTTGCCCATGTTAAAACC